AATTGAGTTTCAATTCTTTTGTATTTTACTTCTTCTTTGAGAAATTTGAGTTGTTTAGTTAATCGGTTAATCGATTAATCGATTGGGATATGGAATATTCTTTTAGTAGATTTAATTCTTTTATTTTGGGAGAAGTTAAAATTTTAAAAGTTACTGTTTGACCAAAAGCTTGGGTTGTTATACCATAATTAGTAGTCGTGAATAGGTATAATAGGAAAATGAATGGAGTTCCTAAAATGACTTTATCTATTATGTTTCTTACTAAGATAAATTATGTTTTAAAACAAACATTGTTTTGACAAATATGTACCTTGGGTAATTTATATTTAATATGCATTTGACTTCCATTAACAGAACTTAGTTGTTCACTAGTTTTATGATAATGTTTTGTGGGGATTAAACCTTCTTGAATACAATTAAGGCTATGACTTCTATTTCATAATCGTTAACAATTAGTTTAACTTTTGAATGCCATTTTTGGATATTAATTCTGTTAATGATATTTAACCGGTTACTTTCTTGGTTATCATCTTCACTGTTGGATTTATTACATCTATTATCAAAGATTACATGGTTTGGATTATGACTATTACTAGATTCATCAGAGGATGTGTCATTGTTATTTTGAAAATCATTAAAACTCTTATTAATTTTTAATATTGCAATTTCTTCTTCTAAGCATTTATCTTTGTTTTTAATTCTTTAATAGTTAGTTTGATTTGGTTAATTTCTTTTTGTAAATCTTGTAAAGTTACTTCTTTATTTTTATCTTTTCTAAATCTTTCTAAAGTAGTAGTTAAACTAATAACTGGTTTGTCTTGATGAGGTTTATTAACTCTGTTGATTAATAAGGATTTTAATTTATTAGTGTATTTTCTTTTTAATTCTGAATCTTCTAATTTACTAATTAATTCAATTAGTGAATCTTTCTCTTGTTGTGATTTACTAAGGACATTAACTTGTTTACAACAGGTATCATTGCAACCTAATTCTATTTGATCAATATGAATATCATTACTAGGAGAAGGGTAATCAGAAGTATCACTATTGTAATTACTAGAAGGGTTACTTGATGAGCTATTGGGTTGATGGGGGTTGATCCTGAATATTTTCTAACTGAAAGATTTCAAATATTTTACTTTGATTTTCTTCAGAGATTTGTAATTGATTAAGTTTTTCTTTTACTTTACATTTATTAGAATAATGACTCTTTTTACCACAATTGTAACAAGTGATATCTTGAGTGGATGTTGATTTTTTTGCAAAAGTTCTTATTTTTGGATTTCTTATAATATTTCTTTTTGGGATTATCGTAATATTTATCAGGTGATCTATTAGATAAATATTTTTTGCGATATTTACTATGTGATTTATGTGAAGGTTTAGTTTTTCTATGCTTATTATGTTTTTGACGCGATAGTACTATCGGAGGTAAACCATATTGTTCACAGAAATTTTCTAATTCATATTTAGTTTGTATTTATCTTTAGCAGCTTTTTGACTAAGTTTCATATCGATACACATTTTCAATCTTTCTTTTTGAATGGTAATAATTATATCACCATATGTCAGATTGTTATATTCAATGATTCTTGTAGGTTGACTAAGGACATCTCTAATTTTATGAGCAAAAAGATTAGGTAAGCTATTAACAAATTTTTCTTTCCAAAATGATTTGGGACAATCATCTTGAAGCATGACTGTAGATGTAAAAACATTTTTATACCATCTAAAATCAATTAGTGTTGGTGTAGACGTCCCCGAACGCCCCAGGAGGACGAGCCCCGTTCTGTTCGTATTGGGGTTCACTACAGTTCGGACTCTCAAATTGTCACGGTTCTAAATCTGAACCAAAGAGTCCAAATCTGGCAAATCGTTTTGAGAAAACAGATTTTGAAAGAAGTGCCAAACATGGACTGCTTTTCCAGATACAGAGTCGCCACCTAAATATTTTATTTTTGAGAAATTTAGGAAACCCTGACTCGTTGCCAAAGGCCACGTGTCCGTTATCACCAAAGTTGCCTCAGCTCGGGAACTTGGGTACGATTGACGTGTCTAAATCACTACTAGGTTGAACAGGTGGTTATTGTGTTAATTCAGTAATTCCTTTCTCTGTAGAAGAGATAGACATTTTATTAAATAATTTTTCAATGGCTGCAACAGTAATATTATCTTGAGTAACTAGGCTTAACCTTTCCCGAATACTAGGAAGATTAATAAGAGGTTTGTCTAAAGGTTTACTTGTAGAAGTATGACTCGTTGAATATTCTTCAAAAGAAGTTTCAATTTTATCTAATTGTTTCCCAATAGTTTTTAAGCATTGATTAGTATAATTATTTTGTTCAATAACCTTTTTAACTTCAGAATCGTCACTAGGAAGCTTAAAAGGAGAAGCATGAACCATGGTACCTTTATGTTCAATAAGTATGGTTTCTAAAGGAGGGTGACTAGATGAAACAGAAGTATTAGGAGAAGTTTTCCATTTAGTTTTCATAATAGTATTTACTCTTTGATAATTATTTTCTAAATAATCAAAGAAATTGATTTTAGTCATAAATTTATACCATTTCCTGGTAATTGTTTATTGTTGTTTTCCATCAGAATTATGTTTATAGGTGTGTCTTTTTGACTTATTTTCTTTAGATTTAAACTTAGCATGAAGTTTATTAAGATCAGGAGTAAATGATTTACTAAGAGTTAATAGTTGTGGGTTAATAGGAGGAACAACTTCAAAATCAGTTTGAGTAGGTGAATCCTGTGATGTAGTATCTTCGTCATGAAGATGTGTTTGGGTTGAATAAACTGGTTTACTAATTTGAGAGGTAGATGAATTATCTATTCCTTTTAATTTACTATGTGTAGTGTGCAAGTTTTGTGAGAAAGGTTCACAAAGGGGAAGTTTCCTGTCTTTTCAAGCAAATAGAGAGGTGGTAAAGATTTCATCATCCTCAGTATCAGTAAGGATACTAGAAGTACTATGGCGAAAAGATTGACTATAAGGTCGATTAAATTTAATATGCACAGAACCATCGGTGAATTGTTAAATGTGTTAAATATCCTGACTAGTGGAAGGTCATTGATTTTGGGAATAATTTTCATTAACTGTAACCCAATCATCAAGAAGAGTAATATCTTTCTAACAAATTATTTTTGGGACTGAAATATTAGTTTCAGTAATACTACCTCGGTGAATTGTTGAATGTGTTAAATATCCTGACTAGTGGAAGGTCATTGATTTTGGGAATAATTTTCATTAACTGTAACCCAATCATCAAGAAGAGTAATATCTTTCTAACAAATCATTTTTGGGACTGAAATATTAGTTTCAGTAATACTACCTTGGATGAGTAATGTTTTATCCTTTGGACTTTTGGTTAAAGCTTGAACATTCGATAAATTAAAGCAATGTTATGAACATTTTCTAACACATTAGTAAATGCACCAGATAATTGAATATTTAACGTTAAAACTTTTAATATATGAGGATCTCTAAGACTTAAAGTAAAATTAGGGAAACAAAAAAATGAACAGGTCTTTTATGAAGGCCTGATTCCATCATACCCATTAAACTATCATAATAATTAATAAAGCGAGCATCACGTAAACATAAAAGGACAGAAGTGTTTCGTCCTTGCAGGATTAATGGTTTGATTCCAACTGAAATTAATCCTAAATGAATAAAATTATGACCATCTTTGAGATATTTTCTAATTGACTCTTTGGATAATAATTGGCAAGTTTCACGTATCTTAGTTAAAGCATAAAGTTGTTCAACAGTTTTGACTTGTAAATCTACGTTAAAGGTGGATTGTAAAAAACTAGTTTTGTAGATTTCTTTAGTTTTGACTTTAGAAATATTCCAACTTAAATCAATTTTAACATCTTGAAATTCATGTTCTTCTTTATTAATCAGTACATCTGTACTAGGTATAGGAGTCAAAGTTGTAGATTTAGAGCTAACTAAAGAGTTACCTCGGAATAAACGACTCGTTGTGATTCTGTAAAATTAATTCAGTTTTCTTAAATTCAATGATAACTTATCATGTTTTTGCATACTATGTTTTTGTTCATACCCTCTCCTGGAAACCCCTGTGCCTCTCAACTACCTAACCAAGGACTTACACTAGACGTGAGACGAAAGGTGGGTGGCTACTGGTAGAGTAAAAGACAAAGATAACGTAGCAAGAAATAAGAAGGCTGTAATTAAAGTACAGAACTCAACAAGAGAAGAATTAAACTGAAATAACTAAACAATAACTCATCATATCAACAACTTGGCTTTGATACCAAAGAGTACTATATTTTTAATATATAAATAATATATTTATATATTAAATATATATTTATTATACAATTTAAATAGAGACAAATAAGCTGAACTTGACGAGCCGAGTTTATTCGAGGTTGAACTCAACTTGTTTACTAAACAGCCTAATATTTGAACTTGAGTTTAACTCATTTACTAAATGAGTTGAGCCTTTAACGAGTCAAGTTGAGTTTATTCGTGAATAATTCAGTTCACTTGCAATCTTAATTAATAAGACAAAATATTACTTTCAACTCATAATAATTACATTATTTTTCTCTAAAAAAAAATTAAAAAAACCAAAAATTATTTACAAACGAGACTTTTTAATCCATATATTAAAAATAACTAAAAAAGATTAAAAATTCAATCCCCTTCTTAAACAAACCCTAATGCTGTGTCTAGTTGATGGATTTGAGGAGGGATTTGAAAAGGGAAATGGAAAAGGTAGATGAAATATGAAAAAAATATACCTTCATTTCACATAATTTCACACACTTTTTCTCTTTTCCTTTTCAAATTTCTCCCTAAATCTCCCAACCAAACACAGCATAAAAGAACTCTAAATAATTGAGGCCAAATATTAAAATTCTTTATCATTACTCGTACTGTTTAAATCATAAAAAATAGACCGTGGTGGGGTCCAGCGCACCGTCAAGTTGAGAAGTGGTTCCCCGACGACACGAGTGCACCCGTTACCTCACCTACCACACACCCTAGGGCGGTTCATCAAGACCATTCTCATTACATTGTCCAAGCTTCAAACAGTTGTGTTAGATTTCGTAGAACAATGTCACAAACAAAAAAACCAAATTACCAAACTCACGTAGTATCAAAAAACAAAATTACTAACTCATGTGGTCGTTACACATCACTATCTTTGTTCAAACATTTCGCTGAACTTGTTGAATACCATTTCTTCACCTAATTCTGTGCTGGTGTGCCTCACCTGCTCAACGAAATTCCTCAACCAAATCTTCCAGTCCTAACCCAAGTGTTTCTTTAATCTTTTCCATACACCTATTATAAATTACTTTGAATTGAACAGTTTTCCTGATGAAAATTGTATTGCTTTGGTAACCCATTGATGGCTTTGAACGGTGTTGTTAAGCTGGGGAGTGTTGTTCCTCAACTGGGTTGGGGAGAATTGAGTTTAAAGCCTTCTGGGTTTGTGTGTTATCAGGTGAAAGACAAGGAGGGAGTTCGTAAATGGGAGTGTCTTAATGGGTTTTTGAGTTTATCATCAACCCACCAGACAATACGATCTGTGGATGATGATGAGAAGTCGTCAAGTTCGGCTACTGAATTGCAGAGGGTGGTTGATCAGACAGAAGGAAATGGCTCCAGGAGGTTGCAGAATGATTCAACTTCTCTTCCAAGTGGGTTCTTTCTTTGCTACTTGATGAATGTATGGGTTTTTATTCCTGACTGAATACATAGGCTGTTTGAAGATATAACCCTTGACTCTTAAATATATTGAGTTAATTCATATAATTACTTACTGATGAATAACAAAGTCATTCATGTGAATAATGACGAAAGGAAAAAGTTAAATAAACAAGTAAAGTGATGTTGTTCTATTCAAGTCTTGTATTTGCATTTTGATTAGTGGAGCATAAGAATCTTTCCATTTTGGTGCTAAGAATTAGGAAAGTATAATTTTGGTGCTAAAATTTTTTCCATTTTGGTGCTAAGAATTTGGCCAGACTGGTGGTTTCACTGTTTCTTGAGCCGAGAGTTTGTAGTTATACTGTGAGAGATTTCACAAGATGAGGTGAGACCTAAGAAGCATGGATACAGACATGTGACACAATACGGACATGCCGACAAAAAATGAAGGACACAACACATGAGGGATACGTATGAAATATATAATTTTATATATTTATTATATTTATATATTCGAATATATCATTCAAAGATAATAAAAAATGTAATATGACACTAATTCCTATAAATTTATATGGTTTTTGTTTTATTATTGTGCCTTAAGTTGTTTAATTCAAACTTATAATTAGTTTCACATGTGTCTAGATAGACACATGTGTTTAAGCAATAAATATGTGTGCCCTCCAATTGTCCAAGGAGTGTCCAGATCTTTAAAAAATAGGACACATTTTAAGAGTGTTGGACACATGTCCCAAGAGTGTCCAAAGAGTGTTGGTGTTCGACACGGACATGACACAGATACGTCACCTTCTTAGAAGGATCCGTGCTTCTTAGGTTGAGACTATAATCAATGACTCTCATAGTAGAAATTAGGATTGCCTATTATGAGGAGTTCTACATGAGAAAGAATTTTATTATTCCTCAGTGCTATTGTACAAGCTGGGGCTGCCAGACGTGGGATTGCAGGTTCAAGTTTGAGGGATGGCCACTTTGAGCAAGTAATACAAAAGTTTGAGTCTATCCCCAGGCTGAGGCTATCCTTTCCATCACCCTTGATTAACTGGCCCAGCATTATGGAATGGCCTTTAATAATTTATAGAATTGCAGGAAAATGAATTTTTGTTCTGTATCATTTCTGAGTTCAAGATGGCTAATTTACAAGACTAAACGAAGCTTAAGTGAAATTGGATAGTACTCTTTGAGTATATTGCAAACAGTATCTGGTTTTGATTTTTAGGTTCAACTTTGATACTTACAAGTGAATTGAGAAGAAATCTACCAGTTTTTAATGTTTAAATTTTCAAAAGGATATGGTGCAAGTTGGAAGCAAACAAAAAATGTGTTTGATCAATTCTCATCTTCTTGCTCAAATCAGAATCCAAGTGGGTAGATGTAGCTGTATAGGAACTTATTTGAACTTGGTGAAACATCGTGTGCGTCTATACCTGCAACACGCATTCATGTTTGTGTCAATTGTGCACTCAAGCACATTCATGTCTATGGTTGGAATATGGATTATGGTAATGGGGAAGTTACCTCTAATCCTACTTTATTCAATAAGGGAAAAAGTCCAATTGTAATCTTACAGGAAATAGCAGCTATGAAGCATGGACATGGACACGGACACGGACACGGTAATTTCCAAAAAATGGAGACACGGGCATGACAGGGGACACGGCGAATTTTTTTTTTTTTAATATTTTTATGTGTTATGTTGATTCATATTACTCTAAATCAAAATTAACAAACACTAACATAGTAACATTAATTCAAGCTTCAAGTAGATGTAGATCCAATTTCTTGCACGTCTTCATCATCATTAGCATCACCATCTTTTTCTTTGTTTGCACCTCCATCATCTGTAAACAACACAACCTCTACTCAGGTTCATCAAGTGAGATATTTGCATCCTCAAGCATCCCAACATTGTCAAATGAATCAAATGTGTCACCCGTAATATCTCATAACTTGGTCTCTCCTTCAAGGTATTGTGGGGTTCTACTTGATAAAAGACGGAGGTTGCTATGAACAAAAACCAAGTCCTCTGCACATTGGGGTGTCATCTTGTTTCTTCTCATTGAATAGATAAAAGAGTATATACTCCAATTCTTCTCAGCACATGACGAAGAAGAAGGTTGCACAAGTACCCTTAAAGCCAAAGATTGAAGAGTGGGTGCAGATGTACCATGAACAACCCAGCAACTATGAGGATCCATATCACATCTATCTCCAATGGAATCAATTTCAGCAAATGGCCCCTATTTGGTTGAGAACTTGGCATACTCCAAATTTGCTCTAATGCGCTTCATTGGATCATCAAAGAACCTTTTCAAACACTTTTTTCTCTCAAGGCAGACCTCCTCATCCCTATGTGGGGGAACTCAGCTTGGATCCTCATGAAGCCACACATCACTATAATACTTAAAATGAAAAAAATGTACTACTCATTATAAATGTGAAAGAATAATATTAAGCTTAAATTAATAAAAATAGTAAATTGTGTTGTAATCACCTTGCATTCAATGAGTGTGCCAAGCAATAAAGTGGTGAGTTGTTCTTGTTCCACCGGTCTACAAGAATCTGATGTACTACATTATAGAATGTAGACTCTTCTTCTAATCACTTTCCTTCATGCTTATATATCACCATCTTCACTTTTTCTATCATTGTATCCCACATGTCATATACTAAGTGAAGAGAAGGTCTATCGGTGTCACAAACTCTAATCATGTCATAAATAGGAGCAGTAAAGGAAAGTATGTAGTCAACTTGATCCCACCAAAAATCATCCAATAACTTATCCTTCACAAACTTGGCCTTGCCAATATCATCATCCCTATAACAACTCCATTTGTCACTGATTACCATTGTTTGGATACCTTGCTTTATCAACTTGACCCTCTTAAGCATGACAATGGAAGAAGCAAAGCATGTCTCGGCAACTGAAAGAAGTTTCAAACTCACAAACTCATTGTACATTGCCAACCTCATGAAATGATTACAAATAAATTTCTCGATCATCATCACATCACCCACAATCTCACTAATCCAATTACACTCTTCAAATGCAACTGAAGATCATATTCCTCCCTTTGTTCCACAGCCGGGACAGCACCTGCCATGGAGGCCATTTCTTGAGAACCTTCAACCTGAAATGGCCATAAAGATACTCAGTCAATAGTGACAACAAAATACATGTTCAGAACCAATGGCTTCAGGGATTCATAAAAAATCCTGTGTACTGATGAAGAGATCATATTCCTCCATCCAAGTCATGAGATTAAAAATGATTAGATAGCTAATGAAGATTAGGTTTTTCCTCTGATTTATCAACAAAAAAATTGGCGTTTAGGTAATTATGAGAAACGGGGAGAGAGAAACAAGAGCAAGGTATATCCTCACTCTTTATCCTCCTAACACCACCTGAAATTTTTTTCATGCCTCCCTCATGGCCAGCCTCCGTACAAGGAATCGCCACACCGAGCAGAAATTCCTCATTCGAGTTGGAGCTTCCAAAATAACTCAAAACATAGTCATAAAACCAAGAATGGATGTCAATCAGGCTACAGGCAGAAATAACTCAGAACACTGAGGTTAACTATCAAACTTGAGGCTACGTAAGAACACATAAAAATGCAGGAAAGAAACATGGTACATCAGGCTCCATATACAACAACTTGTCTGCAAAATTGCAAGTTCTATTTACATAGATCACTTTCCCTTAACAGAAAACTCCCTTTGAGATCATTAGCTTTTCACAGAAGCCTTCATAAAGCATCACCAACTGTACAACAGCAGGGATGAAGGGCAAACTTGGCAGATATCATGTCAATGCTTCAAGCACCATCACAAGGCAAAGAAAAGGAACAAGTTCATACACAGAAAGGCAAACACCTTCTCCCTCTAGCCCCAAAATCACATGCTTGCATAAGTCTATGTTTGGATCCTTTATACGCTGAGAGAAAAGAAAAGAGGACCAAAAAAAAAAAAAGAGCTTATATTTCGTTAACATTTCCCTCCACTTTTCCTTTTCCTTCACAAATCTCTCCCCAAATCCATAATTCAAACACAGCCTAAAAGAAAAGTAGAAATCCTGAATTAAACTTTATTTCCATGTCCACTTTCAATACGATTCCTGTAATGACCCTCATTCTCGTTTTAGTCACGTTCATGTGCATTTGGATGATTTTGTCTTGATGAGCTTGCATTTGTAGATTTTGAATTGTTTTGTCCAAGTAAAGGTCCCTGTCTTGTTTTGTGCTTATGTGATTTGCCTAAGTATTGCTTGTATGCTTTGTTCCTTGCTTAGTGTGTGTAGCTTAGGTCACACCCTTGAACCTCTTATACCTAGAACCATCTTGGAACCACTTTGGTTGACCTCCACCTTCACCCTGGCATATTAGCCGAGATGTCATCAACTAGGCCGAGGTGTGCATCACCTAGGCCGAGATGTGTACCATCTAGGCCGAGATGTTATCATCTAGCCAACCAACATCCTTGATCCTTGCACCTAGTGATCTTGTTCCTGGACTGGTATGACGTAGACCGAGGTGTGGCACATCTAGGCCGAGGTGTAGCACAGCTAGGTCAAGTGTTATCCTTCCTAGCCGAGATCATTGAGACCTTATTTGCCAAAGCCTATGTCTTGATCCGAGGTCATTGCCTTGTCAGAGTGCCCTTGTCACTTTGCTTGTTATACACACTTTGTCATACTCTTGTCTTGTCATTCTGTCACCCTTTTGAGAAGATCCAATCCGGCGTTGCCACATGTCCCAGCAGAGGGTTAAGTCAGGCAGTGTTTTTTATGGCGAAAAGCGAACCGAGGCGACAAGGTCTCCTAACGCCAAAGCGCGAGGCGACGAGGCGAGGCAAGGGCTTCATCGAATCGAGGCGACCAGAAAGGATATTTTTTTAAAATAAATGGTATAGACAAAAATATAAATATTTTCAGCATAAAGAAATTAAAGAACATATTTTAACAACATTAAAGAACATAAAGAAATTAAAATAGTTGAAATTAATTGAATTAAT